CTGTACCTCATCAACTAAGAGATTATCCAAGTGTCATCCAAGGACAGCGAGCGTTCTCCCATCCGCTCGGGGAGACGCGCCCGGTAGCAGTATCTCTTCTGCCCCGAGTGTGTGTGTGTGTGTGTGTGTGTGTGTGTGCGTGTGTGCGTGTGTGTAAGTAAGTAAGTAAGTATGTAGACCTCCTATAACTTTTGAACGGTTTGACCGATTTTATCGCGTTTGGCGCCATTCGAAAGGGCTTGGCTATAAACTTAGATTTTGAATACAATTTGGACCGATTCGGACCCGTAGATTTTGAGAAAGAGCTCAAAACCGATTTCCAGATTTTTTTCTCAGATAAATGCATTTAAAGTTTTTTTGATAAAAAAAAAAATCTTACCTAAAGTCAATCAGCGTTGCCAGCATCATACAAAATCTTTTCAGCTTGTTTGAAAATTTGATTTTCTTTCAATCGAAAATCCATTTAAACCATGTAATAAAGATTGAATAAATATAAATTCAGACGTGTCGTCAATTGGAAGTGTGTGCTAGTGATGGTGCAGCTGAAAATTGATCGCTAGGTACATGACTCTCAGCAAGATCCCGAGCAGGATCGTCACCAAAATCTCGAGCATGACTCTCAGTAAGATCCTCAGTAGGATCCTCATCAAGATCTCGAGCATGACTCTCAGCAAGATTCCGAGCAGGACAGCCAGCGAGATCGCGAACACGACTCTCAGCAAGATTACGAGCATGACAGCTATCGAGATCATCAGTAAAATATCGAGCATGATGAAATTACGATACTATGGTAAAACAAAAAGACTTTGCTGTAAATTACTAGAAAATAACGAAAATTTTACTCGGAATCACCGTGATTGAAGTGTATGCACATCGTGAAAACTATATATTTTGTGTAAAAAACTCTGATCTTTCAGAAAAAAAAGTCAAATTAGAAGTACCTTGTGCTGCACATCGAGAAAAATCAATTTTTCCACATTTAATTGGATTTTAAAGAGTCTTCTGATGTGTTTGTGATAGAATGGATATTTTCATTCAAAAACTGAGAATTTTTTCCACAAGATACGATTTTCCGTGGATTTTATAATAAAAAAGTTTTCCTCATCAGAAAAATTAATAAAAAAGTTAAAAAAAATTTTTCGTCAAAATTTCAAAAAATCATAACTCTACAATCGTTGAATGTTACGGGTTGAAACTTGTAGGGAATTTTTTTCTTATTATATAGAGAACACCTCCATAAATTTTAAACATAATCCGTGAGGGTCGCCCCGTAAAAATGTACTTATTTGGTGGAATGACCCATATATATCGATACAGGTAAAATTTTGTCATATTAAATTATATGTCGCCAAGTTAATCTAATGACTTGAAAATCTGAGAATAATTCAATTCGATAAAATAATTAAAAAAAAAAATATTTTTTATTACTGAATGTCACTTAGATTCATTGTGTAACAAGGTTAGATATTTCATATTTTATTTTGACAGTTTTCAATGTCATCGAACTTTGTCGTTGATGAGTCTAACTCTTTACTTTGGTAATTACAGAATACTGCCGAGTACACACGGAAAGAAATTTCCTTCAAAAATTACCGTTAAATTCACTGTAATCGTGGGACATAGAGCGGCTCTTTTATTAACGTAGTACTACCGGTTTTAGAATTGTCGTTTAGAATTCTATAAAACTTGGCATATTGGTACTTTATAATTTCATAATTAAGCAGTAAAATTTTCGGAAGCCTACAGATAATTGAAAAAAAGATATTAATATTTATAAATTTTTTCCTTTACCATTGATCTTTATGAGAAATCACAGACTTTATTTTATTTCATAAAACTAGACGTTCAGATTTCTATAATATTGGTATCAATAGAAAGAGAAAAATTGATTGAATATTATGTGAAAATAAAACCATAAACTCAGAGCTTATTGTGATAAGAATAATTAATAAATAATTGAGAAAAAAGTACTAGTCAACTTAAATGTGGCAACGCCGCAGAAAAGGTTAGGACGCGCGCGAAATTCAAACATACACTAATGCACATGAAATCATATGTTGAGTGAAACAGAATATATTTTTGTCTCTTTAGCTTTTACGCGGCGTTGCCAAATAAAAATACTACTGAAGCCAAATTGCACAAAGCACTAATTTGACACCTGTGGTAACGGTAGTACTACTACCTTAATTACCATTTTTGAAATGAAATTTACGAAAAAATTAATTTATTTTGTGGTAGACTTCATAAAATTTACCGGAAACCGAATAAAATTTACAGTAGACTACGGTAAAATTTGTTGAAAAAAAGTTAAAAATTACCTCACTTACCGACAAATGATTAGGTCGTGCCATTCGTCCCACGAGTACCGTAAATTTAACTGTCATTTTTAAAAATAATTTCTTTCAGTGCACGTATTGCTCTTTTTTTTTTTTTTTTTTTTTTTATTAAATGTATTAATATTTCCCTTTCCCTACGAAGTCCCTGGCCCTGTTTATAACTTGTATCTAATTAATCAAGCCATAGTTTTTTTACACCTGCACAAAGTCGCAATAAGAAAAATAAATTATCTTACCATTAATTAAGCTTTTTATTGTTTTTGTTTTTACTGTTGTTTTCAAGATGTTGAAGAAATGGAGTTTTCCTGGTTAGAACAAAGAATTCGCGGGATTGACAATGTTAATTTTTCATAAAAGACATAGTTCGAAAGTGTTGAAAAGAATGCAAATTCCGTTCTTTCCAATAATTTTGAAATCGCCTTTTTAATCAGGTTTTAATTTAATCTTCAGGTAATATATTTGTTGAAAAAAGTATTGATTTTGTCATTTCTAATATTCTGTATGTTTAATAATTTTGATTATTATTCATATATTTTCTTACCAAGGTATAAACAGTAAGTTCTTGCATTTCAATATGTATATAAAGGAAATTTACCGACCAAAACAATGTCATTGTGCTCCACCTCTAAAACTTATGTTTTACAAACTTTTAGAAAAACAAATCTATTAGTGCGTATTTGAAGCTCTTAGAATTTGTAAGTATGCAAATCCAGTTTTAATGATCTGAAAATATATATCAGGTGAAATATAAAAACCACATTGAAAAATTTTTAATAATCAACATTCATTTGTTAATGCATAAAATTGCATTGAAAATTTAATTAATTTAATCTTATTAGAGGATTGAATATAATTTCAATTTCTGAGAAAAATTGCTTTTTCATCAGGATAAAATAAATAATATACGCGGAAAGAAATTTTCTTTAAAAATTACCGTTAAACTCACTGTAATCGTGGGACATAATGCGGCTCTTTCATTTATTACCATTTTTGAAATAAAATTTACGATAAAATTAATTTATTTTATGATAGACTTCATAAAATTCACCGAAAACCGAATAAAATTTACGGTAGACTACAGTAAAATTTGTTGAAAAACAGTTGAAAATTATCTCATTTACCGACAAATGATTAAGTCGTGCCATCTGTCCCACGATTACCGTGAATTTAACGGTAATTTTTGAAGAAAATTTCTTTCATGAAAGAAATCACTGCAGTGTATAATAAATTATCATGTAATTGATTAATTCTTACTTGTATGTAGGTAATATAGGATAAATCGATTATTCCCCCAGCACTTATTCTTTGCGGCCGCTGAGACATATTAATTATGAGAATAAAATATCTTCTTGCTTTAGATGGAATCTTGTACCATTCAGTCATGTATAATTGGTTTCCAACTTCAATAAACTTTTATGGGTTTTTGTAAAAAAAATTTGTTGATAAAGCTGATGTAAAAATTTTATACTTAAAAAACAGTATAGATCTATACTAAAAATAAATATTTTGCGGCTTTCAATGAGTATTACACTTGATTTAAGGGATCATTCACGTTTGTAACTTTTGAAAAATTTATATTTTATTTTACATTTTTCAAAAGTACATATATTCACAAGTATTACGTTAGAAATTTTAAGTAATCGAATCACTGTAACTATATTATTTCACGAACTTTATGTAGGTATTCGCGTGAAAGAAAATCAAATTTTGTTTCAGGCTAAAGAGATTTTGTATGGTGCTGGCATCGCTGATTGACTTTAGGTAAGATTTTTTCTTCGTAAGACTTCCTGCTAGGAAGATTGAAAATTTTCGAAAATCGGGAAGTTATTGGTTTTACCCCGTTTTTCGAAAATCGCGTTTTCAACGGATGTTGATGTTTTGAGGCCCTAAAACGTGTTGTGTGTGTGTGTGTGTGTGTGTGTGTGTGTGTGTGTGTGTGTGTGTGTGTGTGTGTGTGTGTGTGTGTCCTTTTTACGGATTCTAGGCATAGACGTTGGCCCGGATATGTGGCGACTCGACGCAGCGTCGTACTAAAACTTGACGCTGACGCCCCTACCCACTAAACCCTAAACCCCTTTCTCTTCTATCCTCTGATCCCCCATGGTACCGCCGTAAGGCATTTCTTCGCGGAGGGAGGAATTAGCTGCCGCTCTTCCTTCTGGTGGCTAAGATGTTATCTTCCTTCTAGTTTCTGTCTTTTGCTCTTTTTCTCTCGATGGAACGCAGCTCTGTAAGCATTTCTGTGGCAAAAGTGTTTGTTGCATTCCAGGCAGCTTCTGAAGACAGCATTGCTTCTACGATTGACTCTGGTTGAATTGTCTTCTTCAGGATCTTCTCCAGCTCCTCACGTTGTTGATTGAAACGCGAGCACCCGAAAAAAACGTGCTCTGCAGCACTCGAAAAAAACATGCTCTGCATCTTCAGTGTGTGTGTGTGTGTGTGTGTGTGTGTGTGTGTGTGTGTGCTTCTTCTTAGCGGGAAGTCGTACGAGGAAAAAATCTTACCTAAAGTCAATCAGCGATGCCAGCACCATACAAAATCTCTTCAGCCTATTTGAAAATTTGATTTTCTTTCACGCGAATACCTTCCTACCTAAGTTCCTTAGCGGGAAGTTAGCAATAAAATTAGATATTTTTTGTGTTATTGAAGAGTGTCTGGGTTGAGCTGAATAAAGTTTATATCAATATCTATAATAGTTTCTGTGTAAAAAAAATATTAAATATTTGCTTTATTTCGAGTGCCAGAACCAGAATGATCCCTTCACACCAGACTTGCAAAAAAATTGAATTGAATTAAGTATGATATCTTTAAGCTGCAGGAAAAAAATTGAACTTTTACGATATATTTAAAGTAAGAGATAATATGAGCTTTGTAGCTAGTTTAACCCTTTAGAGTCTGACCTTGAAACCCCACTCTTGGGTCTTACTATGGATTTGCGCTCTCCCCACTACTCTCACGCGAAGACATTGGAAGATCCTCTGACTCTAAAGGGTTAAGGGACTAATTAAGACTTAATCTCTTTTTAGCACATGTAAATAAGTTCTCTGAGCTCGAGACAAAGTTTGAGCTCAAATTATTTATCTTTGAGTTAATTAAATTTTGAATTATTGCGATTTTTTTTTTAATTTTTTTGATAATTTGCTACCTCAGAGTTAAGAAGTTCACTGAAGTAACACAATATCAATATATTTAAGCTCAAAGCAAAAAATAGCATAATATATGGTATCGTGTTTGCGATGTCTTGATTATCCAACATCTACAAATAATATATTATGAAAAAAACTAAATACTAATGAAATTTTGTGCTATTAAATATTTACTTACCCTTAAAAAACAAAATTCATCAATGCAAAGAAGAATAGAAGATGCACCGATCTCTATAAGGCAATATTCTAATAATGCTTCTCTAAGCATTGTTTTGGAAAATCTTAAATAAAATATTGAATTAATTTTTTAATTGTATTCGATAGATTCAATTAATAAAAGTTTAAGCGAATTTCAATTTTCACTTAAAAAAACTCACTCAAGTACTCTGACATGGTGTTGAACTGCAATTGATATTTTTTGGTTCGAAAATTTGGCTCCTTCATAAAAATCATTTATCAACGACTTAAATTTTACAATAGCAATTTGAATTTGGCTATTTGCATGAGTTACTAAAATAATAGTAATGTTACATGTGCTGACAAGCACTGTGAAACAAAAAAAAATAGCTACAGCGTGAAAAAAGAATGTTATTTCATAGAACGGAGATGAATCAATCAAGCTAATGATATTATAACCAGGAAAAATTATTAGTCTCTCAGAAGTATTTTGATTATTATTCCGAAATAAAAGTGGTATCACGTGAGGCATAAAAAAATTATACAATGTGCCACTTGTATACATAAGTATTGAAAATATAAAAGTTATGTTGTTGCTTATTTTAGTATTTTTTGCCATTATTTCTTTTTCTTCTTTGTATTTTGTTGCACTCCAATCAGCCCTTATGTGTTCTATTGATTTCATTATTGTTTTATGACGATAAACGATAGCTATATATTTTAGTAATACTACAAAAATGAATGCAATAGGTGCGAGTAAAGTCACTTGCTCATTAAGATCTGTTGCATAAAAATACATATGATAACACCTAACAAATAGTTGCCATATAAACATTGCACACACAATAAACACATGAATAATAGATATTAATTTTTTTAAATTTAACGATTGGAACATAAGCTGCCAGATTGCTATTATATTCAAAAACCAATATGTGTATTTTAATGCATTGTGCATATTTTTTGAAGTATTTGATCTTCGAGAATGGCTAATTTTTTTTCGGCAACAATCCATATTGTGCAATCGTGTTCGATACTATTTTTTGATAGCTAAGTCTAGTATTTTACTGCTTTACTATCTTAGATGAGGGGCAGTTTTTGCGCTTGCGTGTCAAGTAACAAGAGAATATTTAATTGATAAATGAAACAGATATATAATAAATGAAAATCAATCAATTATAACATAGCGTATCGATGAGAAAAGTAGAAAAGGATATAATATATGTATAATCAACATGTTATAGTTATGACAAAAGTGAATGTTTGATGTAACTATTACTTTACAAGCAGTTCAAATTAATTTTGAATGTGATTGAAGCCATTAATCTTCCGATAGATAAACTACCAAATATTAGAACTTTAAGTGTCGAAAGTATTTGTCAAGCAGTTTTTAGATAGAGTGACTGTTTCTATGTGTGCATGAAATTTTACCAAAATACATTTCTCAATTATTTAAATCTTTCTTGTGGTAATTTCAAGAGTTTATATGGTTAACGACTTAATTCGGTGACACGACAAAATCTCCCCGGACAAAATCTCCCCGACAAAATCTAATTTTAAATAATTTTAAATAATAATATTATTATTCTTGACAGTTGTGATGGTATTTTTCGTGTAAATATACACAAAAAATCATGATAAAAGGGCACAACGAGATTTTGAAGCGTATTTTGTCGGAGAGATTTTGTCCGGGGAGATTTCGTGGTACAACCCTTAACTCATATTGCTATTTTACAAAATGTTCTGAATATAAATTTTAAAAAAATGGTTTAAATGTTTTTGTGTTAATTAATTATAAATTTTTTAGTAAAATTGATTTTTTTTTGTAGTAAATTATTAGCTAAAAACATGAGGTATTATCAAGAATAAAAAAATTACTGTAATTAACATTTAAAAAAAAAATAAAATAGGTAAGAACAATTAGATAAGAGAAATTCTTTTGAAGACAACCTTCAATATTAATTTTTGAATGAATTTTTATTTATTATTTAAATTAAATGAAAATTTAAAAAAAACATTCAGATTTTATCAGTACTTTACTTTTTAGAATTAATTTTTTAGCAGTGATACAACCGCGAGTGCTTGGTTAAAAAGTAAATAGTTTATAGTTTGCTAATGTATAAATAAAAAAAAAATGAATTTAAATAAAAAAATCATCGAAATCTAAACAAGCAATCAAATTCTGAACAAAGAAACAAATTTAGCACCATAAATAAATTTGGTTGCTTGAATAATGAGTCAATGCATGATGGATGAGTCTATGCTAGCTTGATAGACTTCAAAAAAATTTAATTTGAACTATTTTCAGACTAACATCTTAATACGAGTAAATAGATAAAATCAATATATTCTGATGCGATATTTCTTAAACAAATTAACTGTTGTGAATATTTTTTTTTTCAGTGTACAAATAAAGTTTTGACATTAATGTGACAAATGATTTGCTGTTATCTTGAGTAAGAAATTTTTGAAATTAAAACAAGAAGATACAGATAGTAGACAAGTTCTTCTATTGCTTTTTTATGAAAAATGAAGGGAAGTTTAAGTCAAACTTAGAGAACGAAGGAGTTGAAGAGGTTTCGCGGTATTAATATTTAAAAAATACTTATATATAAATTTATTACATTCTAGACAACTTACACAATCTACTAAACTTGTGGAATAGAACACATTTTTCTAAGATTAGCACTTCATACACTGAAGCATAATAGGGTTTGAATACAATGGATGAATTTCAATTATTAGTATACTTTATTTTTACAACTTACTATTATCAAAACCAATTTTAGGTATCATAAATCGTTTTTGTAAACTTATTTTAAATATTTGAAGCTTTTAAAATTTGTAAGTATGCAAATCCAGTTTTGATAATCTAAAAAATTTAATAATCTATCATGTTTCTAAAACGATTGGACCACTATTGCAAATTCTAAAAAATTTACGTAATTTTATTTTTGTAAAAACTTTTCACACATTATATTCTCAATAAAAAAAGTAATTTTTTTAATTTAAATAAATTGGCGGAAGATTAACTTTTCTTACTTGTAAATAAGTCATGTACGAAAGATCAATGACCCCGCCAACGCTTATTTTTTTAGTTCGCTGAGACATATTTATTATTAGGATTAAACATTTCCTTGCGTTGAGTGGAATCTTGTCCCAGTGGGTCATATAAAGCTGTTTGCCAATTCCACTGAACTAAATTGAAATTTGAAAAGTTTGCGTTGATGAACATTTTTTCAGCATTTGTTTCTACACGAAAAAAAAACTATTGCTGCTACAGAGAATACTCTTGTTACTGTTATAGAAAAAATTTGGAGCTATACTGCGAAACTAGCTTTGACACATTGACCAAAATTATTTGATTAACTATCAAATCGAAAGATAATGACAATATGAATTATTTGAAAACTCGTCGTCTTTAAAGCTATCCTTAAAACAGTCTGTAATTTTCAAGCTTAAAGTGCTCAAAAATTGGATGGTTACAAAGTTTTAAGTTGTTTGAACTCAAAAATATTATTTTTTTGTATTTTTATGAGCTCTCCAAACTCGAAGATGTAATTTTCATAGACTTTCGAATTCCTCATACCTAAAAATTTAGTGGTTAATGAAAATAATAATCTTATCGCAATTTTTGATCAGTGATATTTTTCAAACGAGTCAACCAATTTTGAGAAAATTTGCGGCATTGAACGTTTTTTTTTTTAGTGAGAAAAACTGATTGGGTTTTACAATATCTATAGCAGCTACATAGTTTTATTTTCTTGCATTCATGAAATGTAGATGAACATTAGCAAAATTAAATTTATATTAAAAGAATAGTCTGATAATTTATGTTCAAAGGTAGGAATCCTGGTAAGCTTAGAGTGACATCGATTGTTTGAGGCTATATGTAATAACAGTGTCTACTTAAAAATGTGGTGTTAACTCAGACGCAAGAGTTCACTTTGAGCCTATCAGAATTTATACCTTTGCACACGTGTATTGAAGATGATTCTTATGATTGGAATCGGTATTTCAGTTGCGGTATATATTTACCTGTGAGTTGAGAATTTCACTGAAGTAACACAGTATCAACATGTTTAAGCTCAAACCACCGAATATTATAATATATGGTATCGTATTTATGATGTCTCCATTTCTTAAAAGCTGAAGATAATATATAATATAAAAAACCATCATTCGGCTAGACCTGAGATCGAAGGTAGATTTCGTTATCCAGTGCACGATAATTTAAAGATGAGCAGTATAAACGTTATTTTTAAATTATTTAATAATTTACTGGCAATGTACAGTCGTACTTCACTTACTTTCACTTTTCTTTATGATACTTTGATAATATTAATCAATCAACAGTCAAATTATGCTACAGTGGAAATTTGAAGAAATTATTTTCGAAAGTTTTGTTTCTATTACATCAAACAAAATAAATTTTACAAATCATAACATACAACTATTAGTGATTTAGAAAGTTTTTTATTACCCAATTTTGAAATGTCTCTAAAAAGAAATGGGAAAAATTAAATTTCAGCTAATAAATTTAATACTGGTAACCCTTAGACCGTAGACTGGTCACTTTATGAGAATAGGGGCGCACCAAATCTTATTTTTATTATTAGATCCGGAATATTCAACAAAACAATTTGAAAAATTTGTCTTTATCCTTCGAAGAGATTAAAATATGTGAGTAATGTTGCCGTTATTAAGAATTCCCTTTTATTAGTCTCTTTCTATTAAGCGCGAACGATTTAGCAATACTGCAGTTTCAAAAGCATTACGATGAATTACTAATTATTCGAGCTTAATATATGTTTCTTAGTAGTGTAACGTACACAGTAAAAAATTTTGCGTCATTGCGTCAAAAAATTTTGTGTTAAAAATTTGTATGTTAAATATTTAACACTTTTTTGTGTTAATTTAACATTTTTCTGTGTTAACCCTTTAGAGTCTGACCTTGAAACCCCACTCTTGGGTCTTACTATGGATTTGCGCTTTCCCCACTACTCTCACGCGAAGACGTTTCAAGATCCTCGGACTCTAAAGGGTTAATTTAACACAAAAAAGTGTTAAATATTTAACATAAAAATTTTTAACACAAAATTTTTTACTGTGTACATGGTAAGTGAATGTTTAAAAATAATTTAGTGTACTGACTTATTGTGTATCAATGACAGAATCTACATTCCGCTTCAGGTGTGGTCGAATGGCCCTTTGTTTATTATGCAATTGTTACAAAACAATTTCAGGATTTTTTCTCTTTGTTAACAAATTTTCTTGAATATTTAACTTCAGCCACAAATATTCTTTCTGTGTAAAAAAATTAATACTTTAATACGTACCCTCAGAGAAGAAAATTCAGAAATGCAAAGAAGTATAGTAGTTGCACCGATTTCTACGAGACAAATTTCAGATAAAACATTTTTGAGAATTTTGTTAGAAAATCTAAAATTGTAAATAATATTTCTATACTCAGTCAAAAGTGTTCATTTTCAATTAAATATTCAAATTTAATTTAAAAACTTACTGAAGTACTCGATCGTGATTTTGTATGATAGTTGACATCTTTGCGTATGAAAACTTCATATCCTTTATTAGTGAATTAAATTGGACTGTAACTATATCAATCTGGCCATCTGCATGGCTCAATAAAAAGACAAGTAAATTACAAGTGCCTACGAGAACCGTGTAACAAGACAATGCCGCAATAGTATAAAAAAAGTATGTTATTTCATAAAACGGAGATAAACTAAATATTCTTATAATATTGTAACCAGGAAAAATGATTAGTCGTTCAGAAGTTTTTTGGTGATCACTTTGAAATATAAGTGGTATCACATGAGGCATTATAAAGTTATAAAATAGTCCGCCAGCGTACATGATTACCGAAAATATCGAAGTTATTTTTGTACTTATTTCGGCTTTTTTTATCATAATATCCTTTTCTTCTTGACACTGTGTTACACTCCAATCGGTATATATATGTTTTATAGATTTAGTGATAAAATTACCGCGATAAAGAAGTGATAAATATTTAAGTAATGACACCAAAACGAATAACATGGGGCCCAGTAAAGTAACCTGATCATCTAAGTCGATCGCATAAAAATATATATGGTAAGATCTAAAAACTATTTGCCATACAAGAACAACAATAATAACAGACACGTGAATGATCGTGAATATTTTTTTAAAATTATAATTTTGAAATAACAATGGCCAGATTGCTATCATATTCAAATAACAGTAGGTATATTTGAAAGCATTATACACATGTAAGTTATTTGAGCGACTCAGTTGTCTAATTTTTTCAAAAGATCGATTCATATTTCACTGTTCTGTAATAAAGCGCTCTTTATAACTCATTTAAGTGAACTTTAGTCTTATGATTATATGGTATAAAAGAGATTCGCGCTTGCGTGTAAAGAATTACAAGGCTTTTAATACAGTAAATTTAGATAAAATCAATGAAAAATTATAAATTTTTTATTAGCTATTTATCAGAGCAATAATAAATAATAAGATTTCTATAATATATCATATTAGTAGTCACCTAATAAATTTTCAATAGAGTTGAAATTAAAGTTTAAGAAGAATTAAAATAAATTAATACTAGTTTTTAAACCAGACTGGTTCTTAGTCTGGAAAGGATCGAAAGTTCTTAATAATTAATTTAACTGAATGTCTGTATGCTTGAGTCTGATGGAGGAGTGCATGTGTTTTATGAGTTTCTTATTATTTTGCTCAAAAGTTTAATATTAAGTCATGAAATTAAAAAAAAAAAATTTATTTTTAAATTTTGGTAAGAAATAAATTGAAAACTTATAAATTTAAGAAAAATTGATGTGTTTAGTTCAAAGTTCTGGAATAGAGTTTTTACGAGATGCTGACGTCTTAAGGTATTGCTAATGAGTCACAAAGTGGTAAAGTGAATACTTTATTGCAATCAGAAAATATCATTACACTCTAAGAAATTCATAATAATAACAACTATCGGTTATTTTTAATGACTACCATCGTAGATGATAACTTAAATATTCTTGACATCGATGTTATTGACTAAAATTGGGTATGATAATTATTCGTATCCTTGAATAATAAACATTATTATCTGGAATAGTAACCACTCACATAAAATATAACAACTGTTATAATGTCCGCAGATAATTTTTATCATCACGAGAAAATATGTTCTGTCAATTTTTTTATAGGTACAAAAAAAATTTCTCAAAAATTTAGTTTTTTTATACTGATAAAAAAAAATTTTTTTTTTTCACTAAAATTTATTTTATACCGACGAAAAAAATATTTGACATATGAAACTTGTTTCAGCTAAATGAATATTGATTTCAGTCTAAGAACTTCGTAGTCGGATGTTTTACGGATTGCAATCCAAATTTACTCCGAAATCACGGCGCTGAGAAAAACTCTGGACTTACTCCTTACGGAGAGTGTTTAATAACTCCACTCCGGTTTTCCGAATAGTGGGAATGAATGTGAAAATTTGCTGTAATTTTTACACGAAAATTTTTACATCGACTCATTTACACTACACTAGGTTAAAAAAATTTTTACAGTGAAACAGGGTTTAAATATGGATTAATTTGAATTATTATTATCATAAAATTGATCTTTGTAACATATGGTAACTGAAACCAGGTTTATGGTTCTTTCCAATAAGTTTTGATAACTAACTTTGCATGTCTGAAGCTCTTAAAATTTGTAAGTAAGCAAATCCGGTTTTAATAATCTGAAAAATTTAATAATCTATTAACATGTTGTTTTAATAATTGGATCACTATTGCACCTATTAAAAAAGTGTGCATAATTTTATTTGCGTTAGAACTTTTCATTCAGTGCTCTCAATGAAAAGCATCACTTTTTAAAAGTTAAAATAAATTTGCGAGAGATTAACTTTTCTTACCTGTAAATAAGTCATGTACGACAGGTCAATAACACCACCAGCGCTAATTTTTTTAGTTCGCTGAGACATATTTATTATTAGGATTAAATATTTCCTTGCGTTTAGAGGAATCCTGTCCCAGTGGGTCATGTAAAGCTGTGTGCCAATTCCAATGAACTAAATTGTAATTTTTGTAATTGAATATAAAAATTTTCTATTAATAAACGTTTTTTGTAACAATTGTTTCTATTTATGAAATATATTAAATACTAGCTAAATAAATTTACATTCAATTAAATTTTATTTTTTACTTATAATCCGATCTTCGTTATTTACCATACAAAAAGTATCATTTAATACGTTATGTTTAAAGGTAGGAATCTTGATGAACTACAATTAACGTCAATTATCTGGGGTTACATAATAAATCTTCTACTAGACCTCATTTACTTATTATACGAATCCTTTATTTGCGACCACATAACAACTTCCTCGGTTCAGTTGAAAATGGGTAATCATTAGAAATTCGTGATCTCACTTTGAGTCTGTCAGAATTCGTACCTTTGCACATATGTATCGGTAATGACTCTTATAATCAGAATCTGTTTTTTAGTTTTGAGGTATATATACCTGAGAATTTAGAATTTCACTGAAGTAACATAATATCAACATATTTAAACTTAAACCAAGGAACAACATAATATATGGTATGGTATTTGTAAAATCTTGCTTTCCTAAAAACTACAAGAATATATGTTAAAGAATAATAATAATTGATTTATAATGTAGACAGAAGAATTAATTTGAACAAAAAAAAATATTTTTCATATGATTTGATTTTTTAATTTAAAACAGCAGTTTCCCAATTTTACATTTATAGCCTCATATGTTACTAATTCACCACGTAAAAAAATTTTTTGATATAACCTGATCTGAATATATATGAAAATAAAAAAAATATATACATTTTTTAATATAATAAAAAGTTTGTCGGGGGATTTTATATTTAAATTCTTTTATATTATGAATATCATAATTAATTTAAATTATATTGCTTTTGGATTTTATTCAGTGCAGCAATACCAAATAATTTTAGGCAAATGTGAATATCAATATATTCAGATTAATATTTAGTGATATTATTTCAGTTTGTTTCTTTTTACTATGACTTTATTTTTTTTTTTTTTTTTTTTATTAAAAAATTTACTTTGAGCTGCGAATATTTTTTTTCTGTGTATTAACAGTTGATAACTTACGTACTCTCAAAGAACAAAATTCAGCAACACAGAGAAGTATAGTAGTTGCACCAATCTCCACTATACAAATTTCAGATAAAATTTTGTTGAGAATTTCATCGGAAAATCTTTAATGATATAAAACACTCTTAAAAAAATTAAAACTTTTAATTGATCATTTATTTGCTTTTAATTTAAAACTTACTGAAGGATTCTGACATGATTTTTTACTATATTTGTCATCTTTGAGTGTGAAAATTTCACTTTATTCACATCATTTATTAGTGTATTAAGTTGGACTGTAACTATATCAATCTGGCCATCCGTATGAGTTAATAAAAATAAAATTAAATTGCATGTGCTCACGAGAACTGTGAAACAAAAAAATATCGCGATAATATGGAAAAAGTATGTTATTTCATACAACGGAGATGAATCAAATATTTTAATAACATTGTAACCAGGAAAAATGATTAGCCGTTCAGAAGTATTTTGGTGATCACTTTCAAATAAAAGTGGTATTAAATGAGGCATTATAAAATTATAAAATAATCCACTGGCATACATGAGTACAGAAAATATTATAGTTATTTTTCTATTCATTTCAGTCTTCGTTATCATAATGTCTTGTTCTTCTTGGCACTGTGTCACACTCCAATCAGTATATACATGTTCGATAGATTGAAAAATATAATTACTGCGATAAATAATTGCTAGATATTTAAGTAACGACACCAAAATGAATATCATAGGACCCAGAAATGTAACTTGATCGTCTAAGTCGATCGCATAAAAATATACATGGCAAGATCTAAAAACTATTTGCCATACAAGCGAAATAATAATAACAGATACGTGGATAATCGTAAATATTGTTTTAAAATTGTAATTTTTAAATAACAGTGGCCAAATTGCTATCATATTCAAATAACAGTAGGTATATTTGAATGCATTATACACATGTAAGTTATCTGAGCGATTCAGTCGGTTAATTTTTTCAAAAGATCGATTCATATTTCACGGTTCTGTATTACTCATTTAAGTGAATTTTATTTTTATGATTGTATGGTATAAAAGATTCGCGCTTGCGTGTAAAGAATTACAAGGCTTTTATATAATATCAATGATAAATTATAAATTTATTGTTAGCTACTTATGAGAACAATAATAAATAATAAGATTTCTATAATGTATCATAGTAGTTATAAATTTTCAACGGAGTTGAAATGTAAATTAAATGAAATTTGAAAAAATATTAGCGCTTGTTTTAAAACTAGTCTGGTTCCTTAGTCTGGAGAGGATCGAAAGTTCTCAATAATTAATTCAACTGAATATCTGGGTGCTTACAGCTGGATGAGTGCATGTATTATATGAAATTCTTATTATTTTTCTTGAAAGCTGAATTTTAAGTCACGAAATTAAAAAAAAAAGTTGTATTTTTAGTTTCGTCAAGAAAAAAATTGAAAAATTTTTCGAGTTCAAAAAAATTTTTTTTAGTTCCAAGTTCGAGACGCTAAGGGGTCACAAAGTGGTGAGGTGAACGACAGCGGAATCCGAAAGTATTTTTCTTCAAAATGGTATTTTTGGTTCAAGATTTTGGCTTTTGAGTCGAGTTAATTTTTTTATCAGTGTGCTAATAATTAAATAGTAATGGTGTTTCGTGCACCCGGCCAATAGTATGATAGTATTTGTCATGATTCTTTTAGTGAATACTTTAGCCTTAAAATTAATTCCCAGGAAAGAAAATTTCTTTTTTATAAATTATTACAGTAATTTATGAACAGTGATAATTGATGATTATTTTTGGATTAGATTAAGGTCCATGCTGACTTAAATTTGGTATTTATAAAGAGTGAAAATATTAATCACTACAGGTTTTGAACAGCAGTAGCAAAATTTTTTCAAGCCATTTTTGATAATGGAATAAATCAATAAACAAACTTTTATATTTCTACCATACGTATGAGATTGAAATACGCAACGGACGTTTTCAGAACCTTAAAATAAATCATAAACAATTACTGATTTATTTAATCATATTATATCCGATTGTGTATTAAAGTTTATATAGATTCAGTTACTCACAGAAGTAAAACCATTACAGGATAATTCTACTAAACCACCTGGAGTAATTTTGCCTGGGTGTTGTGTCATCGCAATAATGAAAACAAAATCTCGAGCATATTTAGATGGAAGCAAATACCAATTCACCATGTAGATTGATTGACCTATTGTATTACACTGTATAGAAAGTCAATTTTAATAAGAACATTTTAAATATATTGTTGATGTCGAAATCATAAGAATCATAAGTTCACTGTATTAACATATTTTGCATACGCTTATACAGATAATTTAACGTAGATTAATTCTGCTATATTTTCTAATATAAATTTCATGCATGTGATACAAACGCTTAAAATTATCATAGTTAAAAAAAACTTTTCGTTTTAAGATACAAAGATTAGTGAAACAATCCATATGATCTGTCTTTTGTGTAACTAATATATTTTTGTAATGAAAATTGTGTAAATTAACGAAAGTGATAAATTTTTATCATTTTTAACTTCCCGCTAAGAAAATTTAAAATTTTCAAAAGTTGGGAAGTTATTAGTTTTACCCTGTTTTTCAAAAATTGAGTTTTCAATGGATGTTGACGTGAACATAACTTTTGAACAACTTGACCGATTTCACCGCGGTTGGCACCATTCGAAAGGGTTTGACAAAACTTAGATTTTAAATATAATTTGGACTGATTCAAACCGGTAGATTTTGAGAAATCTCAAAAAAACTAGTAAAAAAAATTTTTCCAAATGTGATTTTTTTGGAATAACTTTTAAACGGCTCTACCGATCGATTCAAAAAACTAATCAGCTCTTAATATAAAAAAACCACGTCGATCGCTACCAGCCCGGTCGAAATCGGTTGATTCGTTCGTGAGTTGTCGTTGTCGAAAGAAAACCGAAAAAAGTGTTTTTTCAGAATTCCAAAGTTATTCCGTTTGAAAATTCAAAAAATAGTGTTTTATTAAACTTCCATCAGATTTTTTAGCTCGAAGAGCTCAAAAACGTAATAAGTGCAATTTTGAGCGTTTAAGTATGGACTTAGCGGGAAGTTGCTGGGATGGCCTTTAGGGCGAACCGTTTTCCTAATATTTTTACTTTACTGTCATAATTAGAAATAGAAAATATTTTTTGTTAAGAATTAAACAAGCATTATGAGTCACATGATTTTGAATTTTTTAGACTTTTGTCTAAAAAGATGTGACCATTGAAACAACTTCCATATACAAATAAGGGCAATTCTTATATAAGTATTGAAATTATTTATATTGGAGTATATAAATAAATTTTATGCTAATACAAAAATTTTACTCTAATTATATTAAAAATATAAACTTGCAAATAAAATTGAGGAGAAATATATTGTTAATGAAGAGTTTACATACTTGCTCTTTTAGTAGTTCGCCGATGTAACAAAATATCCCAACACTCGATATAAATGCTATTAATAGCGTCATGTAGATAGCAAAACCAAACATTTCATTGTATCTCCATACCTATAAATTAAATTGAAACGGCATAATCATTTTTTATCTGTAACTTATAAACATAGTTTTTTACCATCATGCAATAATATTCGTCTAAACAGATAATAATAGTTGATGCCAAAATTTCAATGAAACACACTTCATTCAAAATCATTTGGATATTCTGTGATAAACTATAAAAATTCATCAGTGACAAATAGTAATCATAAGAAAAAATTTTACCGCCTTAAAAAATATGGCACATTTCACTTAAGATGTGCAATTAATTAATTCATTAGTTATATTATATTATTATTATACACACCAAAAAGAAATAAATAGATGCTGCAACATGATACATTCCTGTGATAGCAACATTAAAAAAATTATGTTCTAGTAACGTAATTTTCGTGTTGCAGCAATAGGAAAATCCCGTGGCAGGCAATAATAATAATAATAATAATAATAATAATAATAATAATAATAATAATAATAATAATAATAATTTTATTACTAAACTGTAAAAATTTATCGGGATGAATTCAGAGTGATTTGGGAGTAAATGCGGGTGTATGATTTCCAATTAAGTTACTTCCACTGGGCGTGAAATTCACTCCGAGACCAAGTGTATAAAAGATTGGAATTGTTTCAAACCTTTTTTTTTAATAATTTAATTTCGAAAGTAAAATTGACTTTTATTTCACTCCCACCGCTCAGAATAACAGAGTGAATTTTTCATATTATTTATATGTATGATATTTGTGAAATATAAAAAATATACACGGAGAAAAAAACATAGGGATTTTTCCTATTTTTGCAAATCTTTGATTCGTGACAAGAGTTTTATAAGGTTTCGTGAAATTTGATGAATTTTCATAAAATTTTATAACATTTTTTAAAATTTAAGAAATCAAAATTTTGATTCACGACCAGAGATTTTATGAATTCTCATAAAATTACATAAAATTCAATAAAAATTTACAAAATATTATAAAAATAAAATTTCGATATTCTTCTTCAGAAGTTGCTAATCAATAAAGTCATCACAAAAAAAAGCGCCATACGGCCATGTCCGAGATGGAAGGTAGATTTCAACTTTAAAAAAATTCTGTCGAATAATAAACACTGAAACTTTTAACAATGAAAGAATTTCTGTTAATTATTTTCAAATCAAACCATCATATATGTTTATTTTTCATTATTTGAACATTTACAATTTTTATGATTTCTGTAATTTTAAAAATTTTTAAATGCCTACTAATCCTAAACTAGTCGACCAATTGTGCCCATCTTGGAACTCATTTGAGATAATGGTCTGAGGTATATGTGTGTCTAATTTCATTTAGATCCGTTAAGAACTGTAGACACAATCGTGGCAACATACCACGTTTTATTACATTAGGGTGTGTCAAAATTTAATCTCTAAAAGCAACCTTTTAAAATTGGAATTTTGAGTTCCGCTTTTAGCAGGAGTTAGGTTTGGGTATTTCCTGAGATATTTTGTTATGTCAGGATTTATTTGATGCTCAAATAATTGTTTAACAGGAGTTTCGTTGAAGCAGTTTTTCTGGAATTTAAAAATTTAAAAATTTGGCCAAACGAAACTCCTGTTAAAAAATTCTGTGAATATCAAATAAATTGTGACACACCAAAATATATCAGGAAATGCCCAAATACAGCTCCTGTTAAAAGCGAAACTCAAAATTTCAAATTTAAAAAGCTGCTTTCAAAAATTAAATTTTGACGCACCCTAATATTACATGTACATAAATTTTAGTGATAAATGAATTTTTCATAAGTCACATGGATATTTCTATCATGTTAATAAAAAAAAAATTCCCATGTTATCATTGGGAAAATTCCTATGTTAACATTGGAAAAACTCCTATCCTATGTTAACATTGGAAAAATTCCTATGTTAGCATTGGAAAAATTCCTATGTTAACATTGGAAAAATCCCAATGTCAACATAGGAATTTTTCCTATGCAAAAATAGGAAAAATCCCTATGTTTTTTTCTCCGTGTACGAAAAATTCATGTGGGTATTGACATTTTCAAAGATATGAGTTCATTCCGATATTGCACTCATCAAGATCTTTTATTTGAGTACCCACATGAATTTTTTATATTTCACAGATATCATTAATATAGTAGTAATGAAATTGAAATGATTAGAACTATTATTATTGCCTGCCACAGAATTTTCCTGTTGCTGCAACACGAAAATCATGTTACTACACATGATTTTTTCATGTTGCTACCACAGAAATGTATCATATGATACATAACATATGTCGCAGTACCTATTTATTTTTTTCCGTGCAAGTATTTTGAAAACTTACTCAATAACTCTATTGTGAAGTATGATTATTTCAGACATCCGTTTATGAAAACTATCGTCTTCAACAGCCTTGTCATTATTAATAATGACGAGGGATTCCACTCTGGAAATCATTATTTGAATTTGTCCGCACAAATGAGTGACAAAAATAGCACCGAGGTTACAAGTACCAACTGTCATTATACACACAATTGCGCCCATTAGAATGTGATTTACATATGTGACTACATATATCCAAGTACGTTGAGTATCATAAATATGGTCATACATTGAAGTAGGAAAGACAAGCGGCTTATCTGTTGTATTTCGCAGCAACGAAAGGGGTGTTCCGGGTAAAAATGGTGCCGCTGCTTGATGTGAAATCCCACCACCGAACATAAATATCGCAAAATAAACAGTAACTTTATTGCCTTTTTCTATATTTTTCATCATGAGTTTCCATTCTAAATCGCTGTTTATTCTGTTCCAGTCTGTCGCTAGTTCGTTAAAACTGTCTTTAATAGCTTTTTGTCGATAAATAATTGCAAAATATTTCAAAGCACTCGCTATACAAACTCCAATAGGACCAAGAAATGCAATTTTTATTTTATAATTCTTTTCATAGTATAGTAAATGATATAATGCAGGAACAATGACAAATATCATTAATCCCACACAAACGATTCTAGTTATTTTATTAATACGCTTTTCCGTACTTGTTGTATTATTTGATATCAATGTCCACAGACCTAACAATGTGAAAAGCCATCGTGTATGTTTGATTGATTTAATAACTCCTAAATTATGTTTTGGATTTTCTTCAATTAATGTGTTTTTGTCTAAATTTTCCATATCATTCAATTAATTATTTCCTTCGAAAAAAACTTGACTATAAAGGCAATATAACAAAAAAAAGATATATTGAACTATCACTGAAGACAAATTCATAAGCTTCTGCCTAGTATCATATTTCTTACTATCGATTATCACCCATTATAATTAATATACCACTGTAGTCGATAGCATGAGAGAAAGAAAAGACATCAACTTAGTTTAATTATTAAAAGCTACTGTATAATTGACAAAATGATTCTTTAATAATTCTTGGATACAATATAAGTCTATGTTAATTATTTATTCATATAATTAATTTGGATTTTTGTAAAAAGATTAACCCTTATTCGCAAAGTGTTTGTGTTTCAAAATAGTGTTCTAAAAAATAAATTTAGTTCACAGTGTTTACTATAGAAAAATTTTTCATTTTCGCAATTTTATGAGTAAATAATGAAATGTTAAATTTTATAGACGTGTGTTATGATTAATGCAACAAAATGTAATTTATTACAGTATGTAGTGCAAATTTTTTTTGTTCCTAATAATATTATTCTTCATAATAATATTTTTTATAACTAATATTATTTATTGAGTAGAAAGAAATGTAGGTATTCAAACTGAAGAAATAAATCTCTTGTATACAACAATAAACTCTTGTTATATTTAAAAAAAAAAATATTGTACTATAAAAGTTGTTTATATTGCACCAAATGACATTTTTAAAAACGGTTTGCGTTGATTTTAAGAAATGGTCTTGTGATTTTGTGTATAGAAAAATCAATTTTTTTATAATTATTTTCCATGTAGTTTTAATAATATGTTTAATCATTTATTATTTTATTCAGTTACAGTTCTAAGCATATTTAGGTACACTAGTGAAGTTTTGATAATCTGAAACAAGATATAAATTAAAAAATTAAAAAAAATTTATTTTTAATAAATTTGTTAATAATATTAAATGCTTTTAAATAGGCCGACTTAAGAAAAAAATTTCGTGGGTAGACAAGAGACAAAAAATTAAAATGGTTTGAACTGTACATTAATAAATGCTGCTTACATTGCCAAAACTGTGGAGCGATAGGTCGAGCATACCACCAGCAGTTAATTGACGTTGATTCCTTGACGAGGCAATCGTGAGCATCAAATACTTACCTTTGTTCCCAGGCATTTTATACCAATTTATCATATAGGTGGATTCTCCGATTGAAGAACACTGTTGAGAGTATAATTATGAAATTTTTTGATCAAAGACTACAATATGGTTGAGAAACTGATAAAATTCAATGCGATTGTACAACATTGTTTAGTGCATGTTCATAGAAATAATTCTGAGGATGACTTTATTTAAATTATTGTTCATACGAGTTTAGATTACCTGTTGGTTTAGAATCTCTCCAATGTAACAAAATATGAATATATTGAAGGTCAATGCTGTCAGTAACATTAAATATGTCAAAATATTTATTGTTTCACTATTACTCCATTCCTATAAAGATATTTAGTGCTAAAAAGTTGTGCTTTAGATAAGAAAAATACAAGAATTATTATTTTATTTTTAAACTAAATGCTTGACAAAAAAAAATGTTTCTCTATATCCGCAGTAACTTTTTGAGTTTAAATTTTGGTGTCGATTTCTTCGCAAATAATGGTAATGTTAAAATTTAAACTTTTAAACTAAAATGAGAGCTCAGATATTAGTTTGAATTCATAGTCATTGTTTGTGTTGATATGCAATTATTACAAAATAATTACCGATATTTGTGTATTGTTTTGCTCAAAAGAAAAAACTTTGAACCAAAGAAATGATTCTGAAGAATTTCATTTTTTTGAAGTAAGAATTATTTTTCGGTTCAAAAATTTTTCAGCTTGGCTCAAGATAATGAAATTCTTCTGAATGGATTTGTTGGATCAAGATTTTTTTCTTTTCAATCTAGTAAATTTTTTCACAAGTCTACTGTTTTTGTCATTAAGGTAGTACTACCGTTACCACAAGAGTCAAATCCCAAGACCTAACCTTATTTAATTAACGTAATAGATTTCCCTATACTAAATCATGTTGGAGAAAGAGAGAAAGAGATAAATTTCGAATGTTTTTTATTAATAAATATTCTCATATTCTTGAGAATCATACTTATTGTTATTAAATATGTTCTAGATGTTATTTTATCTCATTGTCTTGATTTTTAAAAAAATCTGAACGTCCAGTTTTGTGAAATGAAATAAAGTCTGTGATTCTCCATAAGAATCAATAGTAAAAGCGAAAATATATAGATATTAATGACTTTTTTTCAGGATTTGCCAGAATTCCAAGAATTTTACTGCTTAATTATGATATTATAAAGTACTAATATGCCAAATTTCATTAAATTCTGAACGTCAATTCTAAAACCGATAGTACTACCTTAATCAAAGGCGGGTTGTCATTATAATTAAAAATTATATATATTATCTGCATCGTCAATAATTGTATATGAAGCTTTTTTAATCTTACTATCATGCAGTAATATTCCAATAAACAGATAATCATAGTTGATGCTCCAACTTCAACAAGACAAACTTCACGTAACATTATTTCAATACTTTTTGAGAAACTGAAAAATATTAAAAAATTTATTAGTAAAAAAAATATCGAATAAATGAAAAAAGATATGAAAATATTGAAAAAATTAACTCTAAAATTCTAACATGACTTTGTATAATAGATGCAATCCGGTTATCAATGGTATCATTTGTTTTTGGATTCTCTTTCTTTAGCAAATTTTCCAATTGTGATTTGAGTATGTCAACTTGTCCACAGGCGTGAGTAGCAAATATAGCAGCTAAATGGCAAGCTCCTGTTGTAATGGTTAGCAAAACCAAACCGCATATGAAATGAAGAAAAAAAATGAATTCGTAGATTGGAGTTTTTTGACAGTTGAAAAAAATTTCATTCCCTGGATAAGCAAGCGGTCGGATTGTTTCGTTCAATTCATTCAATGTACTACCTTTCCATATAGGCATAACCGTGTGGTATGAAACACCGCCAGAAAACATAAAAATTGCACATAGTTTAGTGATGTTACGACCAACATTAACACTTTTGATCATTTTCTGTCGATCTTCCTCTGTTTTTACTCTAGCCCAATCAGCTTTGAGATGATTTAAACAATTTTTTATAATATTAGAACGATACATTATGAAGTAATATTTACAACAATTGGTAAGATAAAAACCAAAAGGTCCCATTAAAATAATTTTCACAACCTGATCGGTTTCTCTGAAGATCATATGTATACCACAAGGCATAACAGTTATGAACATTATGAATGAATTTACAAAAATAATTAAAACTGACGATAATTTACTAGTTAAATTAGAATCTCTTGTAACAAACGACCAAACTCCGAGAGGCTTAAGTATCCATTTTGTTAATTTTAAATTATAATTTATGTCTTCCAAAAGCTCACTATTCTTAATGATCATAATTTTTATTTTGACAATAATAAAAATTAACTATTATGTTTCAGATGTAGTTAACAATCGCGTTACTATATCCAATAGTTGTTGAATACAAACCGATTAAAAATGAGTAAGAAGTGCTGCTCACAAATTACTTCTTCGGAAGCAAACTATTTTTGCGCATGCGTTAAAAAGTTGTAAATATACAAATGTAAACTTTAGTTGTACATACAAACTACCCTCTTAGTAATACTTGGAAACTAAAATAAAAGTTTATACTTCACTACAGTTTTAAAAATTTTTAAATATTAATTTTAAAGAAAAATAAAAGTTTACAACAGTTTTTAAGTTTTAAAATATCCTTAACTGAAACAAAGGCTTACTGGTTGTTTAAGTCTTAAAATATCCCTTGATAACGAAAGTTTAAATATCAACGAAAGTTTTTTATTTTCTTTGTTTTCAATAATGTATATTTTTTTGGTAACAAATAATATTAATGAAAATCTAAAAATTTTTGATCCAGGAAAATGAAATAACATGAATATTAAAGCTTATTTTACAAGCTTTCAAATGCAATTGACAGAATGTTGAAAAGTTATCGGTTATCGCATTCAAAAGTTACTTCAAGAAAGATCTACAGAACTGCGATTTTTTGCAATTTTTTGAATTTTGTATTGTCGTTGCTAAACTAATCGATCAATTTGGATCATCTTCGAAGTTGACCCCGAGAATCGTCTTAAGAAAATTTTTTTGAGTTCCGTTAGAATCTGTTACGAATTGTAGATGTTATCGTCGTGACAAACTGAGTTATATCATTATAAATAACTATATATTTCATTTAGCTATTGAAATAATTGTAAGATTCATAATTAACTATTAAGATATCTTGTGAGAACAAAAGTAACGATAGAAGAAAGAGTGAAGAAAAAAAAAGGAAATATACATGGGGGTAAGGTGTTTCGTGCACACGGAAAAAATTGTAGGAAAAGTGACAATTGTCACATTGTAATCCAGGACTAGACTCTCAATACTTTCACTTTCATAATTTTAAAATATAAAATAAAAACCATTTTTTTTTTCATTTTTAAAAATTATTATCTTAAGTTTTTTGGAAAATAAGGGCTATTTCATATTGTTTTCAGCGATATTATTAATTTATCATGATGAGCTTTTAGATTCGTTTTAAATAAATTCGCTCTAGATTTCGTACTTTAATACTCCATGCTATAACGAAAATTTTGTGACGAGCAAAATAATTATTTTGAGAGGAATTTTCATTGTAAAATTTAGTATCATCAGAAAGTTTTTGACTTTCAATATATTGTTGATAAAGGTCAATTTGATTATTTATAGTTTGTAGAGAAGTTTTTAATAGTTGATTCATTTTATAAGTTTTTTCCGTCATGTTTTCCAATCAGTTATTGATAATTGATCCTATCATAGCAAGATTAATTTTTAAATTTACTTCAACTCAAAAAAACCTGAGTTATATATATCATAATTGAAAATATCGAAAAATTATTAAACCAAAGTTATTTTTATTTATAATTCGTTAATTCTCGGCAGTTATATAATAGCTGAAAATTGCTTGTGATAATAAGATATGTTAACTGATTAACATTTTATTGGGAACTATGATTTGTAGATATTTTCATTTGAGTTTATTCGTGACCGTTAATCCAATGACCATGTTATCTTGAATCCTTCAAATAAAAGTAAACCATTTAAATTCACAATTTATTGTTTGATAACCAGATATAACTAATAATTCTTTATCTTTCATTATTAATTTCTATTGATCAAAAATAATCGAGAAAGTTTAGTGAATTACGGGCCAGCTAACTTTTTTACGCTAATATTTAAAAAATCAACTATATTTAATCGGATATGGTGAGTTAATATATTTGTCCTCGTCAGATTAAATTTTGGAATTTTTTTCCTGTATTTACATCGTCGCTCTCAGAATTTGCAAATATACGAAGCCTGTGTTGAGAATCTGAAAAAAAATTTAGAAAAACGGTAGACCCTGAAGGCCATCCCTGCAACTTCCCGCTAATTCCATACCTAGATGCTTAAAATTGCACTTATAACACAATTTATGTGTTATTTTGAGCTCCCCGACCTCAAAGAGATAGCTTTTCTGTGTTTTTGAGCACTTTGAGCTTAAAAGTCTGATAGGAGTTTAATGAAACACTATTTTTTGAATTTTCAAACCGCAACAACTTCTGAATGAATGAACCGATTCACACGCGTGAAAAAAAGTTATCGTTGACGAAAAAAATCGAAAGAAGTTATTTTTCCGAAATACACCGGAATTTTTGGTCTGATCAATGTGTGTTTAAAATTATATCATAGAATTTGAAAAACCGCGTCGAATGCTGCCCACCACGTGGAAATCGGTTTATTCATTCAAAAGTAATTGCAGTTTGAAAATTTAAATAATAGTGTTTTATTAAACTTCTATCAGACTTTTGAGCTCGAAGAGCTCAAAAACGTCTTAAGTGCGATTTTGAGCGCTTAGATATGGAATTAGCGGGAAGTTGCAGGGATGGCCTTTAGGGTCAACTGTTTTCTTAATTTTTTTTTTTATTGTTACTTTCTTTAGTCCTTTAAGTAAGCAATCTGATGTTGTTTTTTTTTTTTTTTTTTTTTTTTTTTTTTTTTTTTTAATTCATATCACGTTCCAATATAATCTATAAAATTTGACTTCGCTTTTCTCAAAAAAATAATCCTAATAATGCCTGCAGCTTATGTTAACATTTTAGAGATCAAATTGTTAAATATTTATTTTTGAATAAATATTATAATCCGTCAAATCCTATCTAGCCAGCTGTAATATTGAACCGTTTTATTGCTTTTGTATCGAAATTTTCTGCTTATTATAATTTCTACATCTAAACCAAGTATGTTATTAATTGATCGGGTGCATTTTTTTATATAAGGCAATTTTAAGAAAATCCAAGAAATGTTAATGAATGTGCTCTGAAATAGGGCAACCAAATATTTATTTGGCGATTGTTTAATAAAAATAATCGTTTTTCTCAGCTCATAAACATCCATTAACCTACTCAGATCAATATAGATCTACTATATCAATTGAATAATTTTTTGCATCTCATCTTTCTGTTCGAACTCTATTCCAGGATACAAGTGCTATAGGAAAAATGAACGAAACGGAGAGAGCAGCTTGGGTAAGCTTCAAAAATGTGTCTCAAAACTTTTAAGAAAATAAAAAAAGCGAAAACTACAGGACGTTAGTAGAAGAATTGGTGACAAATTAAAGAAATTAGGAAAACAGTTGACCCTGAAGGACATCCCTTCAACTTCCCGCTAATTCCATACCTGGGCGTTTGAAATTGCATTTATGAAGTTTTTGAGCTCAAAATACAATTTATGTGTTATTTTGAGCTCGCTGAGCTCAAAGAGATAGTTTTTCTATGCATTTGAGCTCTTCGAGCTCAAAAGTCTGATGAAAGTTTCATAGAACACTATTTTTAGAATTTTCAAACCGCAATAACTTTTGAATGAATCAACCGATTTTCACGCAGTTTGCGGCATAAGACACATTTTTTATCAGCCTCATAAAGAACTTTCGAGTTTGAATTGATCAAACTAGAAATTTCGGAGTAATTCCAAATGACACTTTTTTCGGTTTTCTTTCGTTCACGATATCTCTCGAACGAATCAACCGATTTTTACCAGCTTGGTGGCGATCGACGTGGTTTTTTGTTGTTCAAAGCTGATTAGTTTTTGACATCGATTGGTCGAGCCGTTTAAAAGTTATCCAAAAAAAACCACATTTGAAAAAATTTTTTTTCTTAGTTTTAATAAGATTCCTTAAAATCTACTGGTCCGAACCGGTCCAAATTATATTCAAAATCTAAGTTTAGCCAAGCCCTTTCAAATGGTGCTAACTGCGATGAAATCGGATAAGCCGTTCAAAAGTTATAAGCGGTTCGCATACTTTCACAAACACACACACACACACACACACACACACACACACACACACACACACACACACACACAGAAATAGTGATACCATTGCGGGGGTCGTCAGGGAAGCTTACTCTGACCATAAAACGTATTCAAACTCCAAAAAATATTCAAACTTAGCGGGATGGTTGGCCTGCGCGGTCAGCCGATTTCCAGATTTTTTTTTTTCTGTGCCGGTGTTACTAACGCAAAATTACTCATGTCATATTAAGAGTTTTTATAATCTAAAATTGATATTTCTAAAAATACAAAATTCTTAGTCATGTATATTGATAGGAGTATATCTGTAAATTCAACCGACTACCTTTAATTTTAACAGAACTTTTTTTTGTGTAGGTACACCTATTCTCGTCTTTTAATCGTGTAACGTAAGCATGTATTTTTTTTATAACTGGATTTCACAAAAAAACGAGAATGATATTTGTAATTACTCGAATAAAATTCTTTACTTCTAAACAATGTGAAAAATAAATTGATATCCTACATAGCTAAACAATGAATAAAAATTCAATAAAGGAATATTAAACGTACTCTTATTTTAGACAGATGCCACGGAACTCGATTAATTTTTTTTTACTTTTGTGTTAGCTGCTATAGTGGCAACTTTGCAAATTATTCTTATATACCATTTTAAATTCTGTACGAAATATCGAGAAATTAATTAAAATTTTAATTATTCAAAGCTTTAGCTCAAAAGTTTTCGAGACATGCGCAATAAATTTTATCCCTACTACAATTTGGAGTCAAGCAGTAAAATAAAAATTATTTCATCGATAAGAGCTCGTACTGTCGAGAGCGATAATGAATCAGAAAAAGAAAAAAAATATTAAGACAAAAGGAACGATCAATTCAAGAGTCTTTGACGATATTGAATATACTCAACAACTGTTGAGTATATTAGCGATTTGGCCGCTAGTTTCAAAATCATCCACCATAAAAAAAATAATTTCGGTCATTCATCTTTTAGTAATAATCAGCAGTTTAATATGGAATATTCTTTTTCGGTGTATATTCATATACATTTATGTGAAAAAATTTGATGATCAAATAATGCTAATCGGGCCTACTTTTTTCCGAGTGATAATTTTACTTAAATATTTGGCTATTATATACCATCGTCGAACGATAAAAAAAATAATAGAACACATACAAACTGATTGGAATAACGTGGAATGCCAAGAGCAACAAAATATTATGATGAAAAATGTACAAATTAATAGACAAGTAACTCTGGTTTTTGCATTCCTCATGTATGTAAGTGGAGCCTTTTATAACTTTGTGATGCCCCATATAATACCGCTATTGACTCATCGTGGTTCACGGAATGCAACTCAACGATTAACCATTTTTCCTGGTTACAATGTGCTTTTTGATGTACAAAAGTCACCGATCTACGAAATAACATTTTTTTTCCATATATTCAGTGTATTTGCTGGTTTTTCGGTCCTTATTTGCGCCTGTAATCTTGCAATTGTTCTGGTAACTCATGCCTGCGGACAAATTCAAATAATAATTAGTCAGCTAAATTCCGTGATTGATAATTTTATGAAAGACGAAAACACTGTATTTATTGAATTCGCATCGTTAATCCGACGTCACGTAAGAGTTATAAAGTAAGTTTTTTTTTTATGAAAAATTTTCTCCTAATACATTTTACAATTAAATTGAGTATTTTGATTTCAACTGTTAGTACGAATAGTCTAAGTTTGAATAGGGCCAAGCCTATTTTCAAATTATGTTTTTCAAGACCACATGGCTCTTGATTGTCGAATGAAAACATAAATTTTTATAAAAATCCATCCTATTTATCATCAATATGTATGAATGAATCAATATATAAAAATAAATACTCATATTTTTCTTGGTCATTTTAATATATAGATTTTCAAACAATATTATTAAAGATGCTCTTTACGAAATTTGTCTTGTGGAGATTGGTGCATCGTCAATACTCATATGCATAGTCGAGTTTCTTTTTCTTAAGGTAAATATCATAAATTATTATTTCTAATAAAGCAATATAAAAGTACAGATTTGATTTATTAACTTTTGTTACAGATGATAGAAAATAAAAATTACGCAAACATGGTACCATATGCTATGCTTTTGGCAAGTTTAGTTGCGAGTATACTTATACTTTGTTATTTTAGTGAACTTCTTGAGAGTCAGGTATTCGATGATATATTTTCAGTTGTACTATTTTAGAAAACTATGAATGCTTTATAAGAGAAAAAAATTATCGATAACAGTTCATCGAAGCTGGAATGCAAGCATATTTGATTGATTGGCATCAACTACCACCAAAAGCGAGAACATATTTGATTTCGATTATTATCATATCTCAACGCTCATATAAAATAACTGCTGGCGGGATAATTGATCTATCGTATGTTGCTTTTGTGCAGGTAAAAATAAATTAATTGACTGCAACAGAAATATAAGTTGCAAAAAAATCTAATTGGTATAGTAGATCTATATTGATCTGAGTAAGTTAATGGATGTTTATGAGCTGAAAATAATGATTATTTTTATTGAACAATCGCGAAATAATATTTGGTTGCCTTATTTCAAAGCACATTCATTAACATTTCTTGGATTTTCTTAAAATTGCCTTCTATACTTGGTTTAGATATAGAAATTATAATAAGCACACGGAGAAAAATTAATTATACTACCTACTATACAAAAATAGTAACTCCTACTATCTAAAATGGTAATAAAATTAATTAGTAACAAATAAATAAGGTGGTATCATTGACAATTAGTCATAGTTACAAAATTGATTTTTTTGAAGATTTAATTTTTTTTTTTGAAATTTTAATTTTTTTTTTTTAATTTGAATTTTATTGAAAATTTTGATTTTTTTGGAAATTTCAAATTTTTTTTCAAAAAAAATGCATCCACAGTAGCGTTGATTCTTAATTTTTTAAATATTTTTTACTAGCTTAGATAGTAGTTATTATTATTACTGATGGTAACTAAAACCATCAGGTTATATTAGGAATTACGATTTTGATAATAGTAGTAACTAATTAAAATAATAACAGTTATTATTACTGATTACCATTATAATAGTAGTAGTTACCATCAAGATGATAAATACTACAATTCAGATAGTTTACTTAATTATTTAAATAATATTTACTACTATCGAATTCAGTTAATAGATTTTAACATAACTAGATAATAAACTCTACTATAAAATTTTCTCCGTGCAGAAAATTTTGATACCCACATTCTAATGTGTGGTATTAGAATATCTTACTTCGAAAATATTTCACCAGACAAAAGCAATAAAACGGTTCAATATTATAGCTGGCTAGATAGAATTTGACGGATTGTAATATTTATTCAAAAATAGTTATTTAACGATTTTATCTCTAAAATGTTAACATAAGCTGCATGGCATTAGGATTATTTTTTTGAAAAAAGCGAAGTCAAATTTTATGGATTATATTGGAATGTGGATATGATTTAAAAAAAAAAAAGAAATGAGGAAAACAGTTGACCCTGAAGGCCATCCCTGCAACTTCCCGCTAATCCATACCTACGCGCTTAAAATTGCACTTATGATGTTTTCAAGCTTTTCAAGCTCAAAAATATAATTTGTGTTATTTTGAGCTCCTCGAGCTCAAAGAGATAGCTTTTATGTGCTTTTGAGCTCTTCGAGCTCAAAAGTCTGATAGGAGTTTAATAATAGATATTTATGTCATAAGGCCGTGAAGTGGCGGTTTTCTGACAGCGACGATATTTCGATATGAGCTTAAGGTTTGTGGCGGGAAGGTTCGAAACGGGCGTAATTTTAACGTCCGAGGTGTAGCCGAGGACGGAAATTTACGCTCGTTTTCGAACATTCGCGTCACAAACATTAAAGTGAATATCGAAAAAAAATCGTTGTCAAAATCGCCACTAAACGGCCGAATGACATACAATATTTTTTGTTATTATCGCTCCATAAGTTTAACTTTTGAGGGATAGGAGGCAAATAATGACATATTTAAATTTTAGGAAGTTTCACAAAGCCAAAAAAAATTAATTTTATATTAATTATCTTTTTATTAATCTTAAAATCTTGCTCACGTCCAGAAAATGTATATAATTTTTTATTAGTATTTATTTATGGCGTTGTTGTTATTTTATTAACATTAGGTCCGCTTTGTAATAAACTGCCAGCAGAGAAATAATAAGCGCCACTCAATAGTAACTAAGACTAAAAATTATCGGTCGGTACGCTAGAATGTGACTTTTTTTTTACAATGTCTCTCAATTTCGTCTGAGTGTACATGAAAAGTTCGTAAAAAAAAGAGGGGGTAAAACTTCATCTAGAAAAGAGAGTTAGAAAAGAGTCCCTCTACGGACGCCACCCAGCGCTCAGAAGTTGAACTTCTGGAGCGAGTATAATAAAAAACACTATTTATGGAATTGTCAAACCGCAATAACTTTTGAATGAATGAACCGATTCACACGCGGTTAGCAGTTGGCAGCATTCGATGTAGCTTCTTAAATTTTATGATACTAGAATTTAATTTTCGCGCTCAAGCGCGCGCGTCATATTTATTGTCATGATATATTTATGTGTCGTTTATGTATATTATATTCACTTTCAACCAATCAGAATGAGAATATTTATTTTCGACCAATCACATCACGAATAAATTGGTTTCACATACATTTCATCTCAATTTTATTATGGGAATCACATCACGAATAAATTGGTTTCACATACATTTCATCTCAATTTTATTATGGGATACTTTTAAACAAAAATTAATCAGACTGGAAATTCCGGTGTAATTCGAAAAAATCACTTTTTGCGAACAAGTCAACCGATTTTGACCGGCTTGGCGACGATCGACGTGGTTTTTTAATGTTAAGAGGTAATTAGTTTTTGGAGTTGATCGGTGAAGCCATTCAAAAGTTATTCCAGAAAAACCACATTTCAAAAAATTTTTTATCATAAGTTATTTTTAGATTTCTTAAAATTTACCGGTCCGAATTGTAATCAAAATGTAAGTTTGGTCAAGCCCTTTCGAAGCCACACACACACACACACACACACACACACACACACACACACACACACACACACACACACACACACACACACACACACACGA